CTAGGGTTTTTGTTTTTTAGTGTGATTTTAAACAGGATTTTTTTTTTTTTTACTTTCCCATTCTGATATTTCATTGTTAGTGTAAAGAACTGCAGCAGACTTCTGTATATTAATCTTGTGTCCTGCTACCTTGTTGAATTCATTTATCAGTTCTAATAGTTTTTGTATGGAGTCTTTACAGTTTCTTATATAGAGTGTCATTCATTTGCATATAATGAGAATTTTACCTCTTCCCTTTCTGATTTGGATACCTTTTGTTTCTTTTTCTTGTCTGATTGCTGTGACTAAGGCTCCCAATACTATGTTGAACAGAATTGGGCATCATTGTCTTGTTCCAGAATTTAGCAGGAAGGCTTTCAGCTTTTCACCCTTTAGTATTATTTTGCCTGTGGGTTTGTCATAAATGACTTTTATTATGTTGAGGTATGTTCCCTCTATACCCATTTTGGCAAGAATTTTTTTTTTATCATGAATGAATGTTGAATTTTATCAGATGCTTTTTCTGCATCTATTGAGATAATTATGTGGTTTATGTCTTTTCTTTTGTTGATGTGGTGTATCACATTGATTGATTTGTGTATGTGGAACTATCCTTGTGACCCTGGAATGAATACAACTTGATCATGGTGTATGATCCTTTTTTGTGTGTTGTTCCTTTATTTTGTTAATGTGCTAAATTATGTTGCTTGATTTTGAAATGTTAAAGCAATCCTTCATTCCTGGAATAATTTCAACTTGGTTGTGATGTTTTATATATTCTGTTTATTGCTGGATTCAGTTTGCTAATATTTTGTTTAAGTTTTTTTAATGTATATTCATGAGATAGGTTGGCCTATAACTTTCCATTTTTTATAATGTCCTTGTCAGGTTGAGATCTTAAATTTATGTTGACTTCATAAAATGAGTTGGGAGGCATTTCTTTTCTGTTCTTTCTATTTTATTCATTTTTTAATGTGTATGAGTAAGATTGATTTTATATGTTTTAAAAATATTTATTTGAATTCACTGAGGAAGTCATCTTGGCCTGTAATAACAGGCCACTTTTCTTTATTAAGTTTTATTTTCATTCTTTTTTAAAGTTAAATTTATTGAATTAGAATTCATATACAATCAAATACACACATTTGAAGTCCAATTTAATGAGTTTTGACTAATGTATAAACCTGGGTAACTCCCACCACAATCAAGATACAGAGAAGTTTCATCACCTAAATCCCTTGTGCCCATTTACCATTAGTACCTTCCCTCTCTCTAGCCCCAGGCAAAAACTGAGTTTCACATGCTTATTTGTCATCTGTATTTCTTTGGTGAGTTTTCTGTTCATATCTTTTGCCCATTTTTTAATTGGGCTGTTTGTTTTCTTATTGCTGTATTTTCTAAATTATAGTTTATTTTACCTGTCCTAGAATTTTATATAAATGAACTCAGACATGTTATTGAGCTTGGTTTGCTCAGCATAATGTTTTTGAGCTTCATCCTTGGGTATTATGTATATCAGTGTTTCATTCAGTTTTTATTGCTGAGTAATATTGCATTGTATGCATACACCACAATTTATTTAACCATTCTCCTATTGGACATATTTGTTGTTTTCAGTGTTTAGCTGTTATTAATAAAGCTGGTATTAACATTTTTGTGCACGTATTTGTGTGATTATATATTTTCATTTCTCTTGGGTAAATTCCTATGAGTAGAATTGCTCGGTCATATGGTAAGTGTATGTTAACTTTTTATGAAATTGAGAAACATTTCTCCAAAGAAGTTATACCATTTTACACTCCCACCTGCATGCTGTGAAGAGTTCCAGTTTTTCCATATTTTCCTCACAACTTAATGTTGTCAGTCTTTTAAATATTTGCCACTCTAGGGCTTCCCAGGTGGCGCAGTGGTTGAGAGTCCGCCTGCCGATGCAGGGGACACGGGTTCGTGCCCCAGTCCGGGAGGATCCCACATTCTGCGGAGCGGCTGGGCCCGTGAGCCATGGCCGCTGAGCCTGCGCGTCCGGAGCCTGTGCTCCACAACAGGAGGGGCCACAACAGTGAGAGGCCCACGTGCCGCAAAAAAAAAAAAAAAGTTAAAAAAAAAAATTTGCCACTCTAGTAGGTGTGTAGTGGTATCACATTGTGGTTTTAATTTGCATTACCCTGATCACTAGCAATTTTGAGCATCATATTATGCTTATTGGCCATTTGCGTATCTTATGATGTTTCTGTTCAAATCTTTTACCCATTTTTTTTAAAGCACTCTTAAAGAGAGTGATTTGTTACAAATTTTAATATATAGAAACTATTGAGAAACAGACATGTACCTTTTTTCCCCCTTAAAATGAATCATGTACTGTTCTGACCATAGCTTTTTCTAATTTTAATCTAATGCTCAAAACTTGATGTGATGTTATTCTTTATAACGAGCCATAAACATTAGTTTTGTAGTAAAGCTATTTAAATCAGTTTGGCTCTTATCTGATAATTTTTTGTGTGAGTGTGCCCATTTTTTAGTAGGATTGCTTATGTTCTTATATTGAGTTGTATAGCTCTTTATATATTATGGATTCAGTTGTTTGGCAGATATATGTTCTGCAAATATATTTTCCCAACATTTTGCTCATCATTCCATTTTCTTAAAAGTGGCTTTAAAAGGACTGAAGTTTTAAATTTTGTTAAAATTTAAATTTTTATGTTTTTTTTGAAAAATTGGTTCATGCTTTTTGGTTCCCAAGAAATCTTTGCCTACTCAGAGTTGCAAAGATTTTCACCTGCTTTTTTTCTAGCGATATTATAGTATTAGCTTTTATGTTTAGGTTTTGATCCATTTTGAGTTCATTTTTGTGTTATGGTGTGAGGTTAACTGTCAACATTCACTTTTTCCCCTCCAAACCTCCAGTTCCAGTACCACTAAAAAAGCTTGATCAAGACTGCATTGAATCTAGAAATTAATTTAGGCAGAATGGACACGTTAACAGTTTTGGGTCTTCAAATCCATGAGCACAGTTTAGCTCTCTCTTAGGTCTTTGTAGATTATCTCAGCAGTGTTTTATAGCTTTTAATGTAGAGGTCTTGTACTTTTTTGTTATATTTGTTCCTGTGTATTTGACCTTGTTTGCTAATAGTATAAATGAAATTCTTTTCCTTCATTTTCTAGTTATTCATTATTATGCCTGATTATCTTTGGACATTTTATTGAAAATTTATAGAAATAATTTAATAGTCTGGGTGATGTAATTTTAATGAAGACAAGATTTCCTTTTGCTTCTGGAAAGCATTTAGGCTAGGTGGAGATCACTTTAATCCAGTCAGGGATTGAGCTCATTAAAAGCTGGACTTCAGTTCTAATAAGGGCTTGTCTATTTCCTGTTCATTCTTCTTCCTAAGGTGTAGACCTTTCAGAGTCCAACTGGAATCCTGGGGCATCCACCAAAGTCTCTCCTCATTGCTGGATCCCAAATTCCAATTTGTGTGCCTCCAAGCCTGTGAAGATTGTCAGAAGCTATGTTTAGCTTCTTAGCCTCTCAACCATTGCTTTTGCTTTCATATTTGGCAGTTGCCTCAATGGAAAAAGTTACCTAAAATATACTTGGATCACTTCAAATCATGATTTCTTTCTTTCTTTCTTTAAAAAAAAAGAATAATACATATATATATATGTAATATATATATATATATATATATGTTATATATATATATATATATATATATAAAAAACT